GGTCTTACTGTAGCTTGGCTCAGACTAACTGTTCCTTCAGAMTGAATTCAATCAAGCTAAGATATAAATCGTTATCTTCCAAAGAACCCTTTTGCTTTAAGCTGAGGTCTAGAATTATATGAAAATATAATTTTCTAGTTTAGTAGGTAAAAATGAAAACAACATGAAGTTATAAGTGGTCACATTTGGTAGAACTATTTTTTTTCCAAATTGCAGCCCCTATGAAACACAGACCACTTTCTGTGTTCATGCAAGGTGTGTAATTGTAAGWTCACATCATTAATGCAGGCTGATTCAGTGCCTTGCATGTTTCTACTCTTGTACATCGAAGCTTGAAGAAAGGCATCAATCTTTCATGTTTTCGCAGAGGAAGARGTTTTYCCTCATCTTTCCCGTCACAGGACTTCACTCCACCTAGTGGTGGTCAGAAGGAACAGAGCACAACCTTGTTTCTTCTTGAAGAGCTGTACCTTGTGCTCATCTGTCATCATGAGTTTTTATGCRCCATCAGCACAGTATAGATAAGGAATCGTCCATTAATGGTTACACAATTAGAGAGAAGCCTTTAAAGAGCGTTAGATTTCRATTTAGGAACCATAAACCTAGTGGGTTGGGAACTGATTGTAAGTGCCTCTTGAGAAACGGGAGCCCTTTGAGCTGAGGTCAGGAACGACTCAAAATCAGTTTCAAACAGCTTTTTACACAGCCGCTTCAGTCATCCACTCCATCTGACTGCCTGCTGCATATTTTATATAATCTACACTGCGAGGATCTTCTAAAGTTTTAATTAAAAGACAGGCCTCATTGCCATCAGTTGAGTTGGTTTGGGCTTTACAACACAGAAGGTGGAGACAATCCTGTCCCGCAGAGACTTCATATCTTTGGACAAAACGGCTCTCTCGCTCCATTTGTCATCATCTCGGGTTCTATCTCCTCGTGTTTTAGCATCTGAACCCCTTTGGGATGGGGGGGGGTAGATGAGGCCTTTCCCATCCCACTGCTCCCCAGGGGGGCTCGAGTTGGTTTGTGATCTTGTATCTCACATGATAGAGACACATCTAATCCTGTTAGGAATTAATATCTTCCTGTGGTAAAAGAGGAGACAGCAAAACGAGGGGAAAGATGAAAGCCACAATGGTTGATGTGGAAGAGGAATGTCTTTCTTTAAATTCTGGCTCGCAGACATCTTTGGGGTAGAGTTATGTGCACGTGTTTGTGTTCCTGTCACTGGGTACCCTCATGGGATCTTCCCGGCTGCTGCCTGCATGTCTGACAGCCTCCTCTTAAGGTGTTTTACCCTTGTTGTCTTTCTCTATCTGCCCCATGTCTGCTCCCTGAGTGAGGAAGTTTACCCTCCAGGCCCCATCTGAGCTCCAGGCCCCCAAGGCCTTAGCATTCCCAAAGCCCCAACACAGAAGAGGCCCTTAGGCTCCCTGCTGTACCACAGGGAATACCCCCCCAAGAATCCCAAGGCCTCTCAGACTGCAGAGCAGCAGCTCTGCAGCAGAGAGCTAGCCCGAGGGGAGGGTGATATCTGGGAATACTACTAACAACATGCTTCACTTAGCACGAGAACAGTCCCTGACAGCGCCGCCTATTGGTGACACATTGTTTCTGCATGTGGGCCTTCTTGTACAGAATTTCTGTGAAGTTTCCTGTCTGGGGCCTTGACCTTGTTAACAGTCCCCTGAGGCCCATGGAGGCCTGCCTGTGCTACATGTGCAATGACCTTTCCAGCTCCCACAGGTCTCGACCCGAAGAATCACAATAGGAGTCAGATACTGATGCACAATGCACATGGGGGTTAACAAAATGGCATAAAGAAAAACAATATCACCATTTTTTAGACTAAATGATGGAAAACTCGTTTTTAAATGCAAGACAAAAACTTATTGGTTCAGACTTGCATATAAAGATAATACTTTGGGTTTTTATCAGGAGAAGCAGATTTATTTCACAAAAAAATACTTTAAAGTGCTTTTTAATGTAAAAAGTGGGAAGCTATCGCGGTCCTGCTGTCCTACAGATGTCTTGAATTGAGCGTTACCAGGTGTACGTCACCTGAGATTACCCATGCTGACACCCCTTCAAGGCAAACAGCCAGCAGTACAGCTGAGGGGGCATCTGGTGGCGTGTGTGCGTATGAGTCGGAGTGTGTTCATGCATTCAGATAGAAGGTAATATTTYACAGGGTGGAATAGAGTGTGAAACATTTGTTGTGTTAGTGGATCGTAGGAATCTACAACTGTTGAATAAAAAAAGGCTTTAACTTATAAAGAATGTATAGTAGATCTGGTAGGTCAGCGCAGGGTTGAGGTCTCTGAACGTGTCTGATTATGTCTGAGGATGTTAAAAGCATCAGATCCTCGAGCTCCTCACTGCATTTAAAGTTTCTTATTAAGAGGGAAGTGAAGTGAGTTAAAATGTTCAACTCCTCTGTCCGTCTGATCTTCCCCTGCTTCACAACGCCCCTGCAGAGACAGAACAAAGAGAAGGCCCTCCTAATCAAAGTGCRCAGGATTAAGAAGCGGGAAAAGAAAACGGAACATCACAGAGATGGTGCGTCACAKCCATTACGCGAATTGGAAAACAACCTGAACGGCAGCTTCAAATGAGCCGTCTGTGAACCTGAAATAGGAGAAAGGCATTTTAATCTCCGTTAGCTTGGCAAGAGTAAAGTTCTGCTGCAGGATCTAAGAAGTGCAGGTGCAAATTTGAGCGGACACTGGAAGTGTGCTCCTGTTAACCATCACACAGTGACAGCAGGGCTTGAAATTTTGAAATTCCTGCAGAACTTAAGTTTACCTTTCAAGGCTTGAAAGTATACAAAAAAATGCATTTTATTTTTTTATTTTGTCAGAAATTATGATTTGTTTACAATGCTTTTAAATAGACAAAAAGACTGAATCTGAATTTCTGTAGTCCAATATACTGTAATTCAGAGTACTGTCCTTTGAAGGTAAACAGTTCCAATCCAGATGCAGAACCAAAACTCACATCATTGAGTTTTGCAGAACTATGCTACAATGCAGTGATTACTATCCAAACATATTTCTGATTTTAACTCGATTTTTTGTAGTTCAAAGGARCATTTAGAAATAGATTTTCTGCAAACTCATTTGTTGAGTCCAATTTTTGCAAGTAGCAATGTTCTTTTTTTTTCAGTGGAGGCATTTTGCAGCCAGCATATGTTGTACAGAATGTCTGTTATCTGGAGGGGGCAACTTTTATTTTGATTATTTTATTTCCATTTCAGAATGATTTGAATGTAGAGATAACAACTATTCAGGAATTGTTTTGTAACTTTTTTTAACCTGTGTGTAGAAATAGTCCTTTTAATAAGAGCCCCTGAGTTTTCTTTTGTTGCATGATGCACAAACTTGTTTTACAGCTCAGACATTTTCCTTCTGTTTATGTATTTCTGTGGAGGACTGAAGCCGACATAATTAAAAATAAAAGCAGAAATAAATAAATGGCCCAATAAATAAATACACTTAAAATGCACAAATTAATTGGAAAAACAGAGAACGTTACCTCATGTGTTTTAATTTAATTGAACTTCTTTATTTTTACAACTTAGTTCTAACAAATAGTATATTTTAGCTCATAATTCAAGTTTTACTGTTTTTACTAAATATACATATTTATTTGTTTGTTTTTCCTTTTACTTGTAGATGCATTTGTGTCTCTTACATTTTTTAATAGTTTTTTTCCCACAAGTCTTTTTTATTTCCATTTTGATTTTACATTTCTCTGTTTTTTCTTTACATTATGCATTTCTTTCTCATTATGCAAATAAGGTGAGCTGCCCTTTTTGGTTCGCTCCTCTACTATTGATCAGTAGAGGAAGGAGTAAGATCCATGTGCTGATACATTGTACACTTTTGTGCTGCCTCAGTTTAGCTTAAAGTTTAGTTTAAAACAAGGCAAGGTGGAAAATGTGTGCCTTTATTGATGAGTTAAATTATAAAACATGAGGAAAAAGTTTATTTTTAATTAATTGGAGCATTTCGACTGTATTTACTTATTGAGCCATTTATATTCTTCTGCTTTTGGTTTTTAATTATGTCAGTTGTGGTCCTTCATACATTTCCTGTAAATTGCCTAACAATTCAAGAGGTTTCCTGTCACTGTCATAAAATGCGGGGCTATTTAGATTTTATAAACTCTTCGTTAACAATGTTTTATTTTACCTTTGGGTTCTTGTTTATCTAGTGTGAGAACGTGAGATGAAAATTCAATCATGTTAGGTTTTGTTTAAAAGTTTTTTTTTAAAAGTTCCCAAACTTTTAGGCACCGCTGTAAATATACTGAGCATGTGCGTGTTTACATGGTGTTTCTGGTAACATGACAAAAATTAGCCCAGGGAACTGAGCAACAGCTTCTTCTGCCCACACTCAGTTATATTTTATTAACACACTGGCAGCAGCTGAATCACTTCATCTCTTATAGGCCTGCACACAAGCTGACACACGAATATTTAACAAGCTGCAGCAGCCTCTGAACATGCCCTGTTGCTTCTCACTTTCACTTACATCGCTGAATGTATTGTTGATTCTGTAAACCAATAAAGGCACGAGCAAAGTGGACTTGGATGATCTGAAGTCTGAGGTGGKACAGAAGCAGGGTTTGAGTCCACACTGTTTGGAAACCTGCTTCCAACAGGCTGATGCTGCCACCGTGTGGCTCAAAGAAAACCAAAACTAACCTGAAATCTTTGCTATATGAATGCCTATGTGTGTGTTCATGTTCAGAAGTGGATCAGTCTGTGGGGTTCTGCCTCCTGACATGAAGGTATGTGTGTTTTCTAATGAGATTTACTGGGCTGCAGATGTTCCAGGTTATAAAGATTTAAGTCTGAGATTTAGGGGCGGGGGTGAGACCTGCACCTTGTCAGAGGCACAAAAGAGTGGTGTTTTACCATCTTTTAACCCCACCACCACCCATACACCACAACCTTTCATAGGTGGCCTCTTAAACCTGACAAAACACACAGCTTGTTTGTCTTTCACCCACGCATACACACGTCTTTACTTTGAGCAGATGTGAATCCAGTTTTTATAAACTTACAAAAAAAAGATAACACCAAAAGCGAATTTTTTTTTTACAAGAAACACATCCCATGCTTTAGATGCAGTTAGTCGGGTGAGTATTCTCTATCTTAAAAAAAAGTTATAATTTTAAAAGCAAAGAATTTTCAAGCTAAGTGGACAAAAAGTGATGATTTCCTCTTTCTCCTAACGCTAAATCCAGTTTGYAATGTCCAGCATGTTTTCAAGGTCAGACGATTTAAACAGCAAAAAGTAAGGCAGTGCAAGTGCATAGAAAAAAAAAAAACAAGTGTATCAATGCTTTCCTCATCTTCATTACAAAAAGGTCTCCTTGGCTCATAATAACTGTGGTGTTCAACCTTCTCTAAGTCCAAGTTTTAATGTCACATAATCGTGACAGGAGCCAGATCCTCCGAGTCTTCAGAGAGTCTGTGTTCATCGCATCGTGTGTCTGACTGAAGCAGCTTCAGCAAATCTGTCCAGGCACACAAACTGCTGACCAGGCTCCAGGTGTATGTTTTTTTTTCTCTTTCTCTCTCTACTAGCTGGCACAACACATTGTCACCTTCCTCTTCATCTTCCTCCCCGTCCTCTGACTGCTCAGATGGCAGGCTGCAGCTTGGTCAGGTTCCTCTGGTGCATGTTGTGGTGCCGCACCAGCTCGTCTGAGCGGGCAAACTTCTTCTGACAGTTGGGCCAGCGGCAAGTAAAGGGCTTCTCACCTGACAAAAAGGGGATAAAATGGGAGGGTGGGGGTGGGGGAACAGGAGAGAGCATTGCTTTAGAAAAAAGGATGATGTTTGCAGAGCGTGACGCTCAGATTGTATGAGTTGAGGGGAAAGGATTAGGAAGGAGAAAATAAAAAGTATACGCACTTGTTTTACCTGTATGAGTCCGAGTGTGCGTCTTAAGATGATCTGACCGTGAGAACTTTCTCTGACACGTCTCACACTCAAAGGGCTTCACTCCTAMAGATGACAGTGGTTGTTTCAGACCATTTGAAAATAAAGAGGAAGGAGGATTGAAGGGTAAAAGTTTAAATATGCAATTAGATGGAGGCTGACAGCTTCAAAAACTGCACTACTATTAGAGTTTTCCAATCAGATGTATTTTTTAATGTCCTTAAATTGATCATTAAAGTGATATTCAGTGTTTTGCGCTATTTTGCTCTCATGAAATGTTTTCATTCAGTCTAGTGGAAAACAAGGATGTTTATTCAATTACATTGTCTCAATTAGATAATTATATTCATTTAGAAAATGCCTCACTTGCATAATTGGAAAATAGCTTTTTAGAAAACTTAAAAGGGAAAAAAAAACTTGTAAGTGACTCAAGTTTTGTATTTATCATTAAAAATGCCTAATAATGTTCTTTATTATTCATCCATACAAATCTTTGACAGACATTTTGTCACTTTTATGTTGTTTTCAYGATTTTGAGCCAAATTACTTCACTTCGATTATCGCATCTCAGATTTATGATGCAATTTTTGGAAAGAAGTTTGTTTATAAACCATTCGATGCCTGAACAGTTTTGTACCTAGTGCAGCAGACTGTAATTCATCTAGAGATGTTGAGCAAACATTACAGGTCATAAATATTTAGATTTGGGTAAAAGCTACTCATACAGACTCTTGTTTGCTCTTTATGTCKGAGTCTTTGTTACTGAAGGAGGTGCATTCATCACAAGAAGAAAACGATCAAACAGCCGGCCATGAAGGACACTAACATAAGAGCAGATAGTCTGAACAGTGAAAATACAGATGTGAGAAGCATAAAGCAWGAGGCATAAAAAGAGAGAAATAATGTGTGCACTTAAATCTCCACTTTGTCTGCTGTATTTAGGTTTGAAAGTTGTACATCACAGCTTCAAATATTAACTTGGTTTCATCAAATGTTTAAATTTTCTTAATGTATCCAAATAAATGTATAATTTCTTGATATTACTCGAGTTCATGCATGTTCTGAAAGCCTGTATTTGTGTTTTTTTTCTTAATGCAAGGAATCAATTAGGATAAAAATATATTACAAAATTTAAAAAAAGAGATTTAACTTGACCAACCATAGAATCCTGAGAAATCATTCAAAACATTTACACTCTGAAAGTCAACCATTTGTTTTTGTAAAAAAAGGAATCCAGATTAACATATGTTAGAAATAAAATTACGGGTTGAAATAGAACCACCTTAATGCCCCAAAATATTGTCCTAACGTGCCTCACTTTTAATTTTTTAATAGCTTTCCAAAGTCTGTTTTATCATTTTTAAACATTTTTAAAAGTCTGTTAACCAAAATGTGGTAAAATGCATGTATACTGAGTTTGAACGTTTTGGTTCATTTTAAAGAAGATTTTTTTAAGGATTTGGCAACATCTATTGTCAAAGTCCCAGACTGCAACAAACTGAACATGGCTGCTTCASTAAAAGAATGACAGCTGGAGAAAAATGAAAAGCTGAAAAGTCAGGTCTTGTGGCCCAAAGCAAAGTAAAAAAAAAAAAAAAGTCCTGAGTCTCAGTGAAGCCTGTTAACAGCTGGTACCTGTGTGTCTGCGCTGGTGCCTCTTCAACTGGTCTGAGCGAGAAAATTTACGACCACACTCTGTCACGTCACACTGGTACGGCCTTTCTCCTGCAAAAAAAAAAAAAAAACAAAAAAAACTGTTCATCGTTTTGCATCGTTGCTGCGTTTTGTTCGGAGCAGAAACACAAACTCAAACTCTGTCAGTCTGACCTGTGTGTTTACGGCCGTGCATCTGCAGATGTGACAGCTTGAAGTATTTCTTGTTGCAGCCGGGGTGAATGCACACAAAAGGACGTTTCTCACTGGCAGCTGAAGACTTCACGATTGAAGGAGGAGCCATGTTTGGTACTCGTCGAACATCCTTTTATTAAAGAGAGAGAAAAAAGAGAGCATAAATATAAATTTGTTGATCTCTTATTTCTGCGGTTTCTGCTTGCATGAGGGTTTTTATATAGTATACCGGAAGTCCTCTGAAAACCCCGTGTGTGTGTATGTGGTACTGGGCGCTGACGAGCATGGGTGGAGTTGGGGTTGTGGGGTCGCTGTCAAAGCTGGTTGAATTGCTGCTGGCAGAGAGAGATATCATTTCAAAATCAAAGTAAAGTAAATAATGTAACATTTCAAAGTAAAAACWAGGATAATGTAATATTTGCAAAGTCGATTCTTTAGAGAAAACTAAAACACAACTGTTAGACCAGAGGTGCCCAAAGTGGGGCCCGTGGGCCAAAACTGGCCCTCCAAGCCATTTGATTTGGCCCACCAGGAGTTACTGGATTATAATCTTTTGTCTTATGTAGAAACACTATATTTCCACTTAGACTTTTCAATCATTTGGTCCAACTATACAAGGAGCTGTTGTCAGATAGTCTTAACCCATGGCACTCACTTTTCCTTTGAATTATGTTAAGATTAAACACAGTACGTAAAATAAGTATTGAACACGTCAACATTTTTCTCAGTAAATATATTACTAGAGGTGCTAATGACATGAAATTTTCACCAGATGTCGGTAACAACCCAAGTGATCCATACATACAAAGAAATCAAACCATAAATGTCCAGAAATGAAGTTATTTTTAATAATGTGGAATGGCACAGAGAAAAAGTATTGAACACATGAAGAAAGGGAGGTGTAAAAAGGCATGGAAAGCCAAGACACCAGCTGAACTCTCTCAGTAATTAGAAAGCAAGCCTGCCCCTTGTCAGTGCAAATTAATATCAGCTGGTTCAGTCCCAAATGATGGCCAGGTATCACACAAGAACCTTCTGATGATGGGTAAAAATAAAGAGCTCTCTCAAGACCTTCACAACCTTATTGTTGCAAAGCATAATGATGGCATCGGTTACAGAAGAATGTCTAAACTTCTGAAGGTTCCAGTGAGCACTGTTGGGGCCATAATTCAGAAGTGGAAAGAACATTATTTCACCATAAACCGACCACGACCAGGTGCTCCTCACAAGATTTCTGACAGAGGAGTGAAAAGAATTATCAGAAGAGTTGTCCAAGAGCCAAGGACCACTTGTGGAGAGCATCAGAAAGACCTGGAATTAACAGGTACGATTGTTTCAAAGAAAACAATAAGTAATGCACTGAACCACCATGGCCTGTATGCACGCTCACCACGCAAGACTCCACTGCTGAAGAAACAGCATGTTGAAGCTCCTTTRAAGTTTGCTGCACAACATTTAAACAAGCCTGTGTAATACTGGGAGAATATAGTCTGGTCAGATGAGACCAACACTGAACTGTTTGGATGCCAGAATTCACATCATGTTTGGAGGTCAAATGGCACTGCACATCAGCCCAAAAACACCATACCAACAGTGAAGTTTGGAGGTGGGAACATCATGGTGTGGGGCTGTTTTTCAGCATATGGTACTGGCAAACTTCAAATAATTGAAGGAAGGATGAGTGGAAAAATGTGCAGAGACATTCTTGATAAAAATCTGCTTCCATCCACCAGGATGATGAAGATGCAACGTGGCTGGACATTTCAGCAAGACAATGACCCCAAACACAAAGCCAAGGAAACTCTCAGTTGGTTTTAGAGAAAGAAACTAAAGCTGCTGGAATGGCCCAGCCAATCACCTGACCTGAATCCAACAGAAAATCTATGGAAAGAACTAAAGATCAGAGTTCATAGAAGAGGTCCACGAAACCTTCAAGATTTGAAGACTGTTTGTGTGGAAGAATGGGCCAAAATCACACCTGAGCAATGCATGCCACTAGTTTCTCCATACAGGAGGCATCTTGAAGCTGTCATTGACAACAAAGGCTTTTGTACAAAGTATTAGATAAATTTCAGTAAGTGTGTTCAATACTTTTTCCCTGTGCCATTCCACATGATTACAAATAACTTCATTTCTGGACATTTATGGTTTGATTTCTTTGTGTATGGATTACTTGGGTTGTTACCGACATCTGGTGAAAATTTCATGTCATTAGCACCTCTAGTAATAAATTTACTGAGAAAAATGTTGACGTGTTCAATACTTATTTTACCCACTGTGTAAAATACAAGTAACTACAAGAGACATTTAGATTAGATTTAAGCCCATTTCTAGATTTGCACACCTCATAAGTCCACATATACTCAAACTTTTAATYACGAAAAGTCCCATGAGCCTTTGCTGCCCGAGCATACATTGAATTTTCTTCATGTCCATGGGCTGAAAAAGCAAACAAGCAAACTGGCACACTGGCTGCTAGCTTAACCATGAAAAATAAACAACTTTACTAAAGATGTGTTTGCATTTCTTATATTATTGCATTTGGCCCGCGGCCCTCAAGTTGGTTTTTATTTTGGCCCTCAGGGAAAATGTTTGGGCACCTTTATGTTAGACAAACTCAACAAAATCAAAATATTGAATCAGCAGAGCTGAAATCCTTGAATCTTTCACAATGTTTTTTATTCTGCCAAAATTAGCACAGCTTTTATTTTGTGGCTGTGTGGGAGAGGGTTTTTTTTTTCAGTTGAGTCAGCCAGACCTGCGTCAGAAAAGGACAGTTTGTGCTTTAGTTGGTCAGAGAAGCATCATGCCGTACACATTAAGATAACATCTAATGAGAAATCCTAAAGAGGTAATACTTCTTTAAAGGCTGAAAAATAGAATTTGAATCAGTCTTTAAAACATGCAGCAGAAGTTCAGAAATATACACATAAACATCATTAGGCTCGTCTTCTTCTTGGCCTGTTTTTTTTCCTTGCTGGCAATAATCCAACAGCCATCTGGTCCAATTCTCCTCTGACTTCTTTTAGTCCAAATCCACAAACACATGTTAAAAATATAGCTTTTATTTTAAATATCAAACATTTTAAAAGAGCTCACCTCTTCATGGAGGATGTCAAGGTGTTCATCTGGTTCCACGTGACACACTCCAGCTGAGACGCCATTTGGTACAAATTATCACTACAATAATAAGTAAAACAATATTAGCTCAAAATTTGAGTGTGAAAAAAATAATTTTAAAGAAGTGGTGTTGAATATTTGGTGAAATCTATTGGGAAAATTGGCAGATTGCAACAAACGAAACACAAACAGGTTGGTTAAAATGCTAAGAACAGATTTGTCCTAAACATTTTTTTTAAATCTTATAAAACTTGTTTTTATCTTGTAGGACCAATGGCGAGCTTTGTCATAATTTGATTTTTAACCCATCTTGTTTACTCACTGAACTCCTCCATAGTTTCATTAAAAACCTAAGCTCTGAGTTTCTCTTTGCCTCAGCAGATCACACACACACACACACACACACACACACACACACACACACACACACACACACGGTCAAATGCACACACTTAAAGATGCGATTGTGCTCTCTGTGGGAGTGGGTGCCTTCGTGCCTAGTACACCCTGGACCGGTGCATGACATCACCCTGTCCTCCGGATCATTAGTGGCGAGAAAGAGTTTCGGGGGAATTCTGGACAGCATTCCTTGAGACGTCCTTGAGGAAAGGGTTGTGATGGCTCCCTAATCAGCACTCAGCTATGTTGAACTGTGGAAAGGCTCACTGATATCCGACACATACTCGGCGGGTGTATGAGCATGTGCATGATTGTGCACGATTTTTTTTCTCTCTCTCTGTGTTTGTTTGAGGGTTTCCAGTTCCTGCCATAAGCTGGAACAGCAGCACAGTATTCCCTCTGCTTATCAGCTGCTGTTCCAGTATTTGGGTTGCACATGTTCCTTCTCTCCCAACAACATCTCGAGGCGGCATTTAAAGAATGCCGTCCCAATTTACTGGCCGAGATGTTTTCCATCACGAAGGAAATAAGCCGAAGACGTTCACAGAGCCGCGCAGCTCTCGCTTTCACTGAACTTGTCTCTTTTCACTTTCTTCCCCCCCACGTTTTCCCCCTCGGGGTTGCCTTCAACACATCAGCCGTAGATCACGGTTGTTTGTTTTGGGCCCGCTGAGCACCAGTGGGCAGCACTTAACCTCAGAACAAATGAGGATTCACGACCCAGACGGTGTGGAAGCGAACACAGAGCTCGGTGAGGGATCAGGGAGAGTTCACGCTTCTAAAAGGTCCTGACAAGTGAGCAAATAATGTCAGTGGAAAGAATCTGACACTGACTGATGAGCCCAGAAAGCTTTAAGGGAGAGTAGAGTTGGGTTCGAGGTGGGGGATTCCAAAAATATATRTAAAAAGGGAGATTATTTTACCTGTTGTAGTTTCTTAACAGCAGAGCTTGGTTGCTTGGACAAGGTTCTGCAGGATTGTGGCAACCAAACATGGGATTAGGTGTGGAGTACTGTGGATCAACTGGACAGATGGAGAAAAATTAAAATAATGTTACTTATCACCAGTTAGTCTACGAATTATATTGCTTTTTTTTTAAAAAATAGACCAAGCTTTCAAGAAAAATACTAGGGCTGTGAAATTCATCGAGTTAACTCTGATTAATTTTAGTGCTGCCCGGACATAAATTAAAGATTTTAATCGCAATTAAAATTTACAATCAATTTACTATGGCTGAATATGTAGGTTTGTATATTGCAATGCACTCAGTGTAAATGCCAGGTCATGTT